GCCGCCGAGGACTTTCCCGCCAACTTCACCATCGGCGACCTGGACGCCTTCACGCGCTACCTCTTCGATGAGCTTCTCGAGCTGGCCGACTTTGACATGAGGGCGGCGGGCGATGAGGAGGGCTGCACCCGATTCCACTTTCTCCCTCGTTTCACACGCCTCCTCGCCGACGGCGGCAAGGAGCTCCTCTCCATGGCCGCCGTCCTCGACTACCTCCGAAAGAGCTCCCGCCCGCTGATCGAGGACTCCGCCCTGGACGACATTGAGGCGATGAGTGACACGCAGTGGAATGAACTGACGCGAAAGCACAAGGGCTCGCTGCTGACCTGTCCGGGGGTGAAGCCCAGCACGCTGCGAGTCGATCAGATTGATCGGGAGCGAGGAGATTTGGGAGTGGGAGGAGGTGTGGACAAAAGCAGCAAAGCAGCCACCACCTCCACTTCAAACTCTTCCACCTCCCCTTCATCACCATCTTTAGGCAGCAGCGACTCAAACAGCAACAGCAGCAGCAGTAGTGATAAGAACGAGGAGGACGAAGCCCAAGTGGAAGCTCAAGCGCAGGAAAACGCTGAAGACCAAAAAGAGCAGCAGAAAACCTCTTCCTCCCCCTCCTCCTCCTCGATGGACCACCGCTACCCCGTGCTGGTCCACTTTGGCATCCGCCCCCCGCAGCTGAGCTACGCCGGCAATCCCAAGTACCAGCGGGCGTGGCGCGACTACGTCAAGTACCGCCACCTGCTGGCCAACAAGGACCGCGTCAGCTTCTCCGACAAGATGCTGTTATCGGCCAAGGAGCAGAAGCTGGCCGAGTTTCGCACCAAGTCCGATTTGAAGCGGGACGTCACCGTGGTTGTGAGCAGCCGCGGCTTCCTCACCACCGGCCTGCAGACCGACCTGGTGCAGCACTCCCTCCTCATGCCCGTCCTCGTCTGCCACCTCCGCTTTCACTACTCACTGCAGCACCTGGAGCAGATCGTCGGCTATCGCTTCAAGGAGCGGGCCACCCTTCAGCTGGCGCTCACCCACCCCAGCTACCGCGAGAACTACGGCACCAACCCGGACCACGCCCGCAACACTCTGACCAACTGCGGCCTACGGGCGCTCGAGTACGGCGACCGGCGGGTGCACTTTGCCAACACGCGCAAGCGAGGCATCAACATGCTCATCGCCATCATGTCCCGCTTCGGCTGCCCCGAGGAGACCGCCTCGCACATCAACCACAACGAGCGGCTGGAGTTTCTGGGGGACGCCGTGGTGGAGTTCCTCACCTCCATCCACCTCTACTACCTCTTTCCGGAGCTGGAGGAGGGCGGGCTGGCCACCTACCGGGCGGCCATCGTGCAGAACCAGCACCTCGCGCTGCTCGCCCGCAAGCTGCAGCTGGAGCGGTTCATGCTGTACGCGCACGGCAGCGACCTCTGCCACGACCTGGAGCTGCGCCACGCCATGGCCAACTGCTTCGAGGCCTTCATGGGGGCGCTCTTTCTCGACGGAGGGATCGAGGTGGCCGACGGCGTCTTCTCGCGGACGCTCTTTCTCCCCTCTTCGGCCAACTCTGCCGCCAATCCTAGCTTACATCATCACCCTCATCAGCAGCATTCCACTGAATCGAGCTCCTGTTGTGGAGGAGGAGGAGGAGGAGGAGAAGATAGGAATCCTAGCCCTTGTAAGAAAGAAAAGGAGGAGGACGCCGAGGTCGGCCGCACCCTCTACTCCATCTGGACCACCCTCCCTGCCCACCCCCTGCAGCAGCAGTACCCCGAGGGTGACCGCCAGCTGATCGCCAGCATTCCCCGCCTCCAGGAGCTGGCCCGCTTCGAGGAGGTCATCGGCGTGCAGTTCCGCCACATTCGCCTGCTGGCCCGTGCCTTCACCCACCGCTCCGTGGGCTTCAACAACCTGACGCTGGGCAGCAACCAGCGGATGGAGTTTCTCGGGGACACCGTCCTCCAGCTGGTGACCAGCGAGTTCCTCTACAAGTTCTTCCCCGACCACCACGAGGGCCACCTGTCGCTGCTGCGCAGCTCCCTCGTCAACAACAAGACGCAGTCGCTCGTCTGCGACGACCTCGGCATCACCCCCGTCACCCACTACAACTGCGTCAAGCTGGAGCTGAAGACGAAGGACCGAGCGGACCTGCTGGAGGCCTTCATCGGCGCCCTCTACGTCGACCAGGGCATCGAGCACTGTCGCCGTTTCTGCGAGGTGTGCTTCTTTCCCCGCCTGGAGGAGTTCATCAGCAACCAGGGCTGGAATGATCCCAAGTCGAAGCTGCAGCAGTGCTGCCTGACGCTGCGCTCCGCCAACGGCGGCGAGCCGGACATTCCCGTCTACAAGTGAGTACACACTACCATTGTTCATTAGGTGCAAAGTGAGCACACCACACTTCACGAGAATTGAACGAGAATTGATAGCCTCTTTTGTTTCTGTTTGTGCCCTCTGTCTGTCTGTTTGTTTGTCTTTGCGTTTGCCGTGTACGGATTTTGCACTCTGGTGCACACGCACCACTTTGCCATTTCCAGCAGCTCATTTGCAAAAGCAGCAGACAGACAGACAGAAGCCAAACTCGACTCGATTCGATTCACTGAACACTTGGACAGAGCTAATTTAATGGCAATTGCTATTTCTCCCCCCCCCCTCTTCCTCTTCCTAGGGTCATCGAGAGCAAAGGACCGACGAACACGCGAATCTACGTGGTGGCCGTCTACTTTCGCGACCGCCGCCTGGCCGTCGGCAAGGGCCACAGCATTCAGGAGGCGGAGATGAACGCCGCCACGAATGCACTCAACTCCTCCAAAGGTTAGTAGTGGTAATGAAACTGGCAAAGACTGCTTTACTTCTGCTGTTGTACACCTATCTTTCTTCATTTGCCCGTCTCTGGTTGTTGACAGCAAACGAACGACTTTTGCTGGTGGCAGATGCAGCAGCTGCAGCAAAAGTTTTGGGCCAAAGAGCCTAGCACTAAATTGCGTGTGCTGTCCGAAAGTTGCCAATGTCACTTTCTACTTTCTCTCTTTTCATTCCTTTCCTCATCATCAAACACACACTAATTCTTTGCCTCTATTTATTTTTCTCTTTTACGTTTCCCCCATTCCCGTTTCTATTTTTGTCCCATCGCTCCCCACCATTGCAACCCAACACCACCACTGCCACCATTGCCACCAGAACTCTTTCCACACCTCGTACAGCAGAAGAAGGTGCTGGAGCGTCGAAGTGGGAATAATGGCGGCAATTCCAATAACGGCAGCAGCATCGTCAACAACAACAACAGCAGCAGCATCAGCAGCAGGGAATTAGGAGAGTAGGAAAGGGGAGGAAAGTAATGAGGGTGATTTGCAACACCAGCACCACCGGATCTGCGAAAACGGACGCCAACGCAATTGATTACTACTAAAGACTCTCTCTATCTTTGGAACTGCAGCAGCAGCCTGAGCACTTGTCCGAAATCCCTTTGTAGCGCTTCCGCTGTGCCGTGGCGAGCGCGCCTTAGCTGTCAGCTCACATCACTTCACACTTGCAAGCTCAAGCTTACTCTCTTTTTCACCACACACACACACACACATTCTTGTATTCCCTGGATTTTTCCCTACACTCTTTCACCATCATTCGATTGAGGATGATGAGCTGAACAGCAGTGGAAAAAACAACGGCACCAAATAACAACGACGACAGCAATAAACGCAATCTTGACGATTAGCGGTAATCGATGGCCATTTAGGTGGGGCGAGCAGAAGGGAGAACAGAATAGAAGAGGACAGAACAGGCAGCTCGCCGGCACTCTTTTTCCTTCACAAAGAGGAGAGGAAATCACTACCCCACCTTTGAGCGTACGACAAAAGAAAAAGCAGGAATCTTTGCTTGTCTCAGAGGGAGATAAGAGAGAGCGAGAGAAAGAATTCGCCGATGTGGCGAAAGACAGATAGCGGCGAGGGAAAGGCCACCACTGCCATGAAATTGCCGCCAACTGGCCAGCAGCAGCAGCAGCAGCAGCAGCAGCAGTGGTCGTGCTGAAGGGCGCTATATGGTAATGGAGATTAGAGGAACTCTCTCTCTCTCTCTCTCTCTCTCTCTCTCTCTCTTTCTCTCTCTCTCTCTCTATCGTACAGCAGTGAAAAGAATCACCGCCGCTGCCGCTGCTGCTCTTCACACAATGTAACATTTCGACCAAAAAATGAGAGAGAGAGAACAGTTTCCATATAACATAGCACCGTTCGCTGGTGGTGGTAACAGTAACGACAGTGGAAAACGAGTGAAAAGAGCACAGAAAAAAGCCTGCTGCTGCTGAAACACACACATGCCCAATNTAGTGTGTGCTACACTGGAGGATCCAGCAGCAGCAGCAGCAGGACTGCAAACTGGCACAGGCAAATGAAAAGGCAGAGAGAGACAGAGAGAGAGAGAGAGAGAGAGAGAGACAGAGGGGGCCGCCCGTTCAGCATTTGCAATTGTCTTTGATGCTGGTGGTGGAAGTGGTGACGTCAATCGTCGGTGCTGGTGCTGCTGCTGGCCACCACCACCAACGAATGCTCTCCATCAGTCGCCATTGTAACCAAAGTTGGAGAGAGAGAGAGAGAGAGAGTTTTCGCCACTAACCACGAAGCTTGGCGCCTGCTGTCAAAGCTGCTGCCACTGCAGCTG